TTCGTTATTTCTTTCTTTTTTTTGAGTTGGAGTCTCACTCAGTCGCCCATACTGGAGTGCAGTGGCTGCTTCCGGCCACCGCAGCCTCAACCTGCTGGGCTCCGGTGATCCTTCCGCCTCAGCCTTCCGAGTAGCCGGAATTACAGGCGCGCGCTACCACGCCCGGCTGATTTTTTGATTTATTGTAGAGATGAGGTCTCGCTGCCCAGGCGGGTCTCGAACCCGCGGGCTCAGGCAATCCACTCACCTCAGCCTCCCAAAGGCGTGGGATTACAGGCTGAGCCACCGAACCCGGCCGTTATTTCTTCACTATACTTAGGTGCTATCTTGAGAGAAGGTATTGAGAATTCTAGCTGACAATAGAACCCCTCAGTTCAGAGCAATTATGGAAATATACAAATGGTATTTCTGTGCATGTTTCTAGTAATCAGATGCTGTTTTTTTTCTTTACTTAAAGTGAAATGAAACAAAATGTTTAATGAACAAATTTATATTAGTAAATATGAAACTGCCAGAGGAGGGAGTTATGGTTGTGTGTGGCTTGATCTCAGGAAAAGAGGAAGCTGAGGAGAAAAAGAAACCACATCTCGGTGATGTTGGGGGCTCTGGCACAAAAGAGATGTGGAGTCAAACAGGAGGCTGGAGTCATGGGAGAGGGAGGACGAGGGGATGTACGAACAGAAAGCTAAGTGATAAACTTGTTTTATTATTTTTTTTAGTTGGAGTCTCACTCTGTCACCGAGGCTGGAGTGCAGTGGCATGCTCACGGCCACCGCAGCCTTGACCTGCTGGGCTCAGGTGATCCTTCCGCCTCAGCCTTCCAAATAGCTGGAACTACGGACACGCGCCACCACATCTGGCTAATTTTGATTTATTGTAGAGACGAGGTCTCGCCAGGGTGCCTAGGCTGGTCTTGAACCCCTGAACTCAGGCAATCTCTCACCTCGGCCTTCCAAAGTGCTGGGATTATAGGCATGAGCCACTGTGCCCAGCCTATAAGCTTGTTTTAAACTAAAAATACATTTGCTATGATGTTCTGTAGGGAGGGAAAGAGGAAGTCAGTTCTGTGGTGGGTAGTGGGGGGGGGGTTAGCCTGTAAGGACTGCCCATGGTGTGCCTATAATGCTATTTCTTGATCTTTTTAATATAGACTTTATCTGTTGATTTCCTGCTAAGTTAGATTTAATTATTGAATTTAAATAACTCCTCCCATCCCAATTCCTTCCATGTTCCAACAGTTAGGACTCATTATTTGCTTGCTTTTATCAGTTAGTTTTATAATTTACAATGGCATACTTGAAACTTAAGTCTATTTTTCTTGTTTTTGAGTCAGAGTCTCACTCTGTCTGGGCTGGAGTGCAGTGGCACGCACACAGCCACTGCAGCCTCGACCTGCTGGGCTCAGGTGATCCATCTGCTTCAGCCTTCCAAGTAGCTGGAACCACAGGTGTGCACCACCACATCTGGCTAATTTTTTGATTTACTGTAGAGACCAGTTCTCACCATGTTGCCCAGGCTGGTTTCGAACTCCTGAGCTCAGGCAATCCTCTCACCTCTGCCTCCCAAAGTGCTGGGATTACAGGCATGAGCCACCGCACTGGTCAAAACTTAATTCTTATCCCATCATTCTTAACTGTATCTCTTGACTCCTCTCTTTTAAATATGAAGTTTTATGACTCTAACCTACTATGGTTTTAATGTTGTCTCCTTCAAATTCACATGTTGGAAGCTTAATCCCTATTGAGAGGTGAGACCTAATAGGAGGTGTTCAGGTTATGAGGGCTCTGTCCTCATGAATGGATTAATGCCCTAATAATAAGGAACGGGTTCTCTTTCTTCTGCTCTTCTATTATGAGAGGAACAGACTTCCTCCCCTCTGGAGCATGCAGCGTTCACAGTGTAATCTTGGAAGTGAATACCAGGCCTCACCAGACACCAAACCTGCCACCACCTTGATCTTGGACTTCTAGTCTCCAGAACTGTGAGAAACAAATTTCTGTTCTTTATAAATTATCCAGTCTCAGGTATCCTATTACAGCAGAAAACAAAGATAACTTCCCTTACCTTTTTCCCCTCTTCTCTTTTCCAACTCAAATATTATCAAGGTTGGAAAGATTTATGTTTTGTTCTTTAATCATAATTACTAATCCAAAAAATTGAATATAAATGACTTGTATTATGTAAACACGATTTACCCTACAGCCACTTAGAGTCTGCCACGTGCATTTCTTTCACTAGGCATGCCAGTTGATCCAAAATAGGATTGAGCAGGCAAGAAATTAATTAGAGAAAATACCTATGAGAGAAATTAGAAAGAGAGCAGAGAGATGCAGAGATCTGTCTGGCTGTGATGAAGGTCTGACTTCATATGTGAGATAGAAGGAAGAAAAGTTGGGTAGAAATATCTTAGATGACAGTATAGTTTTAAGGCAAATTTGGCAAGGCTGGTGGAGAGTTCTTGAGCCCAAGTAACCTGTCAGGGGAGTTCTGCACCTCCCAGGAAAGGTCCTGGCTTTTCATTCCTGCCATGCTCTTGGTGGCATGGCCTCAGTGCAAATGCAATGATGGATTTCAGCGTGCAGCAGATGGGACCCTCAGCCAATTAAAATCCTGTGGCTAGAGCTCCAAGAGGTGCTTCTCACAGCTACCACATAGGGTCATGATGTTATTACCCCTTGTCTGCTCAGACTGTTTTTTTGGAAGTGGAGGTCAGAGTCTCACCCTGCCACAATGAGCTAGAGTGCAGTGGTACAATCACGGCTCACCACAGCCTCAACCTATTGGGCTCAAGTAGTCTTTCTGCCTCGGCCTCTTGAGTAGCTGGGACTATAGATGAATGCCACCATACCCAGCTAATTTTTTAATTTTTTGTAGAGATGATGTCTATGTTGTCTAGGCTGGTCTCGAACACCTGGGCTCAGGCAATCCTCTCGCCTCAGTCTCCCGAAGTGCTAGAATTACAGGTATGACCCACCACGCACAGCCTCGAAACTGTTTTGATTGTCAAGGCCAAACGGGTACGCATTTCTTATAATTCCACAATTATATAAAAGCATGCCACTTTTTAATGTTTTGTATTTTTGTCATGTTCTTTAATCTCAACAGTAAACACTTCATAAAAGAACTATCCTTGGGCTTGCCTTTGTTGTAGGTGATGTCATGTAAGCATAGTCACATCATGACCCCACTACACTCCAGCTTGGGTGACAGCAACACCCCATCTCAAAAAGGAAAAAAAAAAAAAAAGATCCTTGCCTTCTTTTTTAAACAGATAAAACAAATACAGTAAAAACAGCATAGAATTAGGTAAAACAAAACACTGAAGAGATTTAATTCATGAGATAACTGCAGTATATATGTATGTTTGAATATGCATAGAAAAGGATACATATCTGGAAGGATACATATTAAATTGTTAACAGTTTACTTGGGGATGTGGAATTAAGGTAGGGTGAAGAGAGTGTTCTTACTTTTAAACTCATATACCTCTGTATTTTACAGTGAGAATTCATTACTTCTATACTAATCAAAACCATAGGAGAAATCAAAAAATAAAAATAGTAACAAAAAGTAAAACACACATAATTGTAGCTACATTAGAGGAATGGAGAATTAAATCACATGGCATTTTTCCACTAATATTGTGGAGGAATATAATTGTGTAGTTTATAAGCAAAGAAACATTAGACATATAATCAAAGAAACAACATATTACCACATTTAGTAATATTTCAATTTAAAAAGTTCTTTGGGACAAGAGCCCTCAAGTAGTGACCCCTCAAGGTGGTTATTAAAACTGAAGGCCAAGTTTACTCCTAGGGGATCTACAGAAAAAAATGACAATCTGAAAACTTCAGGCAAAAAACAAAACAAAAGCTTCAGAGAAGTTACTCTGAAATACTAAAACAGGGCCCTGCGCAGTGATTCACGTTTGTAATCCCAGCACTTTGGGAGGTCAAGACAGAAAGACCACTTGAGCCCAAGAGTTTGAGACCCGTCTAGGCAACATAGTGAAACCTCATCTCTATGCAAAATCAAAAAATTAGCCAGTTGTGGTCGCACATGCCTGTAGTCCCAGCTACTCGGGAAGCTGAAGTGGAAGGATTGCCTGAGCCCAGGAAGCTGTTGCTGTGGTGAGCTGTGATCATGCCACTGCATCCCAGCCTGGGCAACAGAGTGAATCTCAAAAGTAAAAAATAAAATAAAAAAGAAAAGAAATAATAAAACAATTAACCACAGGTCAGAAACGGAGGATATAAAATACAAAGCCCAGACTTATAACAAAAACACTGAAATCTTGGTAATCTAGGGATGTAGGTTAGGAACATTTATTTTATCCTTTTGTTTACCATTTCTCTCAATTTCTCAAATGATCTGCTTTCTATCTCAATACTTTTAACCTAAAAGTACTGTAATTTTAATTGGAAGCATAAAATTAATTCAATTTTGATTCAGTGTAGATTTAGTTTTCTAGTTAAAACAGAACTTGAGACTAATGATTTTTCATTATTCATTTTTTTTCACTATTATCTGTAGTTACTTAATAAACATTTGGGGATATGATACTTCTGATTTTTCATGGATCCCTGCAGTCCTATTTTACTTAAAATTTGAAGAAATCTTTTTTCTCCTGTAGTAGTTTTTTTTTCCTTCTGAGAGATGACAAACTTCTTGTTCTTATGAACTTTTTTTTCCAATAAAGATTCTTTAGGTGACTGTTGGATGGAAAGTTAAATATCCTCAACAAGGTCAAAACCTATAACCTCTGGAAAGTTCTGTCATTTGCAAGCTACATAGTTAAGAGTTCAATTAATATAATTTCGTAGTCCTTAAAGAATGTTCCTGATAGGCATCAAAGGTTTATGCAGTATTCTACTTATTAAGTAAGCAATATGGGAACTTGGCCAAAATTTAATCTGCAAATTATTGTAAACAGCAGAGATAAAGGGTATAAAGTTATAATAGACATGCCGTTTTTAAAAGTCAGAATAGCCATGATATTGCTGTTTCTCAATGGATTATAGTATTTTAATTTTTAAAAATCAGCAAAAATCCATCACAATATACATATGGAGTATTTAGCATAATGTCTAGTACATAATAACCACTTAATAAAAACTGGCTCTATAATGAACAATGGATTAAAACAATAAACAAAAATAGAAGACAGCAAAATGGAGGGAAAAGTTTAGCACTAATTTCCTAGGGTACATATTTAAATGGAAAGTCGGAGTTCGCAGAGAGCATTGAGAAACTCTGCATTTTCCGGATCTATCTTTTGAGCCCTCTCATAGTACTCAGCAGCCTGCCTCTTTTCTCCCTCGAGTTTGTAAACAAACCCAAGGGCACTCAAACTCTGCACATCTAAAGCATTGTGACAAAGTCTCTTGGTAGCCAATTTCTTCAGAGCACTTGTCAGTTTGGTGCGTAGGGATGACCTGTCCTTGACCTTTAAGGCTTCTAAATAATGATGGATAGCAGTATTTTCTGATTTACGGTGAAATTCCTGAAAGCGGCCATAGTGGTAGTGGATCTGATGCTTGTGATCATCAGTTATGTTCTCCAGACGGAGGGCTTTCTGGAAAATGTCCTCAGCATTGCTGTACTGGCCTCCCTCAGCATACATGTTGGCCAGGTCCGTGTAGGCAAATGCAAACATAGAGTCTCGTTCCACAGCTGCTTTGAAGTGAAATATGGCGGAGGTAATCAGCTCCTCAACCTTCAGTTTCTCCTTCCCTTTAGGTCTGTTGCGTGTGGCCTTCTTGATTTGGATCATTTGTGCCCTGTAACAAAGTCCCATCTGGTGATGCAGGAAAGAAGAGGTTGGCGTCACCTCTAAGGCCTTTCTTAACAGTTCGAGAGCTTTGTCCCAGGAATTTTTTCTCCTGTAGAATTTGGCTGCATAGCGAAGGACGTAAGGCTGAGACGATATCTGGTCCAGGATTTCTTCAATATACTTTTCCCCTTCAGCTTCTGCGTGTACATCTTGAAGCTTCAGTGCCAGGAAAACCTTGATGTAGGTGTTATCTGGGTTCAGGGTAACAGCCTTCCTCAGAGGCCCCAGAGAAAAGCTCTTGATAGAACCCTCTCTGTCAGAATCATCCAGCCGATACACTGTGATGGCATAGCCGATGTTAAATTCTGGATTGTCAGGCTCTGCTTCCAGAGCCTTCTCAAAAGCTGCTTTAGCCTTTTGGTAATACTTACCTCCAAATTTCAACAGTGCCCACCCTTTCTCACAGTCAATCTCAGGACGCTCCAACTTGTAGTCAGAAGGACTGGATAATTTCTTGCAGACGTTCCCTACCTTGTCTACATACTTCTGAGATTCTTCAAGCTGGTCCATGTGATAATACACCCAGGCATAGTTTCCCCAAGTGACCAGGCTTCTTACTTCTTCTTCGTCTGAGTGTTCTCGTTGGATTATTTCCTCTGCTTGTTCCAGGCACCCTAGGGCATCTTTATTTTGGCCTTTTAGGTGTTTCACGTAGGCCAACAGGTTATAAAGAGCAAGTCTGGATTTTGTGGTAAGAAATTCAAGCTGTTGTCCAATGGTATCTTCCACATCCAACAGATCAATGTCTTCCTTAAGTAAATTCCATGTAAAGTGGCATTCTAACTCCAACAGAATGGCCTTCAAGGTATCCTCAGGAACTTCACTGTTAAAGATAAAATCATTTTTAATATTTGAAGAAATAAAAGAAATAATTAATTTTCTAAACTTTAGATACTATTATTTGCATATCAACCAATTTTATTCCTTATTTTATCTCACAGTTGAAGCACTAAGTTCCCATAGTTTTATACTAGTTTCTCTTGTGTGCAATCCTAGAGATATTTCATTTACATTCTCACTATTTATACCAGTTCTGGAGGGATGACAGGGCTTCCTATGGTACAGGTGTATCTGTTTCCTTTTGGCCATCACTAAATGCTTGAAAATCAGGAATGAGTATATCCACATTCAATAATCAATATAAAAAATCCATTTCTAAATTAAGAGTAGTGCCGGACACGGTGGCTCAAGCCTATAATCCCAGCACTTTGGGAGGCCGAGGTGAGAGGATTGCCTGAGCCCATGGATTCGAGACCAGCCTGGGCAACTTGGTGAGACCTCCTCTCTACAATATATCAAAAAATTAGCCAGGCGTGGTTGCGTGTGCCTATAGTTCCAGCTACTTGGAAGGCTGAGATGGAAGGATCGCCTGAGTCCAGCAGGTCAAGGCTGCGGTGGCTGTGAGTGTACCACTGCACTCCAGCCTGGGCGACAGAGTGAGACTCCAACTCAAAAAATAAAAATAAATAAATAAATAAATTATGAGTAGTGAAGGGAGAGAATAAGAGGTGAGAAATAAGAAAAAGAAGTAAATTGGAGGGGACAGAGAAGCCACACAAATATATCATTTTTGCAGAGAAAGAAAGATTCAACAGAGAAAAAGCACAGAAACACAAAGGAATAGGTATGCCAAGAGAAGGGAAAAAGTATAAGTCTGAGACAGATGAAAGGAGAGTAACAGATAAAGAGAAAGATGGGGAAAAGGAAAAAAAAAGGAAGCTCAGTAGGTTTTAATGTGAGTGCCATGTCCTTGTGACTCTTGGGGCTGTGGGCAACAATAAAGTCTAATACCTACTACTAATTTATCACTGCTCTCACTTTAAGAAATAATTGTTGAGCACCCCTTGGGCCAGGCACAATGTAATCTCTGCAGGGGCCACTGGAGAAACTCTCTGAAACTAGGAAGATGAAGGGTGAAGGAAGGGATATGAAATAGTTATTTGTTTCTGAGAAACTTATGGGCAAGATCTTTTGAATAACATTGGGATGCAGCAGTCCACCCTCACCCCAGTCTGTGGGAAGGCACAGGATATCCCAGTGGTTCCCTGGACCCAGTGATTTATTCAAATAGTCCAATTAGAATTTAATTTTGCTGAAATGCAACTCTGCTGGAACTCTCTCTCTTCCACATAAAAATTTTAGATTGGCAGAATTTTAAGTTTGGAGTTGCTAGTTGTTATCTTTACAAGTTCCTGGGAAGAGGCTGTGTGTGTGTGTGTGCGCGTACTTCCCTTATTATACATACAGGACCTTCCCCTGTATGCATAATATAAATATGTATATACATGTATATGGGTAACTATGGTAATATTTCTATCAATAAGCATTTATTGATCCCCTCATGCCATGCATGCCAGGCAGTATTCTATTATAGTGGATACAGCAGTGGAAAAGATAGAAAAAGGTCCTTTCTTCATGGTGATTCCATTCTGGGAGAGTGTACAAGAGGAGCTGACATAAAATAAACATGTAAATCATCAATGGACAATATGTAATCTAAAAATAAAATCCTAAGTCCCTCACTGACTGAAAAGACCTTCTCTTGGCCAAGGGGTCCCCAGAGACCCCTTAAAAACTGAGGTTGGGTGTGGTGGTTCATACCTGTAATCCCAGTACTTTGGGAGGTTGAGGTAGGAGGATGACTTGAGGCTAGGAGTTTAAGACCAGTCTGGGCAACATAGCAAGACCTCATCTCTACAAAAAGTCAAAATATTAGCTGGGCATAGTGGCGCACACCTGTACTCCCAGCTACTCAGGAGGCTGATGCAAAAGGATTGTTTGAGCCCAGAAGAGAGAGGCTGTGGTGAGTTGTGATTGTGTCACTATACTCTAGCCTGGGCAACAGAGTAAAACCCTGCCTAAAAAAAACACAGAAAACCCCAAAAACCCGAGTTCCCAGCTATGACGGGAAGGGAGGTTGGCATACCCTTTTATACTTGCTTCCTTTTTTAGTCTAGGCACAACTGACGAGCTTTAATGTTAAAATAGCGGTTATAAGAGTCAAACAGACTCTTTTTTTTGTAGCTGTAAGATACAAAATTAGAAACAAGACCTACAGTCATGCATGACAAGAGTTAAGTCATGCCTACAGATCATGAGTCTTGCTAAACAGGTCATGTTGTGGCTGACTGTGACACGGCATCCTTAACTTAAACATTCCTTTCTGCTAATTCCAAACTTTTAGGCAAAGTTTTGTTCCTTTAACCAATTGCAGATTAAAGAATCTCTGAATCTACCTATGACTTATAAGCCCTTACTTTAGGATACCCTGCCTTTTGGGGCTGAACCAATATTTGCCTTCTGTGTACTGATTTATATCTTTAGCTGTAACTACTGCCTCCCTAAAAATGTGTAAAAACAAACTGCAATCCAACTTTCTGGGGTGCACCATCTCAGGACTCCTTGAGGTTGTGTTTTTTGCCAGGCGACAGTCACTCTTATTGGCTCAGAATAAACCTCTTTAAAATATTTTAAAGAATTTGATCTTTATGTTAACTTCATAATTCCAGAAGTAATAAGTGCTAAGAACAAATAACAAAGCCTCTCTGGAGTCCCCTTGGCCAAGAGGAGGTCTCCAAAAGAACAGCATAATAGGACTGAGGGGTGGTGTTGAGGGGACTTCAGTCCGCAGGAAACAGCCCTGACCGAGTCAGATCTCAATATGAAAAGAAGGCAGTCATGAAAGACCTGATGCAGAGTGATCCAAGCCAGTGCTTCTCAACCAGGGTGATCTGAACTCCCAGGAGACATCTGGTTATGTCTGGAGACAACTTTGGTTGTCGCCCCTGAAGAAATGTTCCTGGTATTCATTGGGTTGAAGGCAGGAATACTGCTAAACATCCTACAGTGCACAAGCCGGCCCCCAACAACAAAGAATTATCCAGTCCCAAATATCCATAGTGCTGAGGCTGAGACACCCAAGTCTGGGCTGAGGGACCGCCAAGTGCAAAGGTCCTGATGTGGGAACAAACTTCGTGTTCAAGGACAGAAGGAAGAACAGTGTGGATGAAGAAAAATAAAAAAAAAAAAAAGAGAGAGAAGCGGGAAGCGAGGTGGAGAAGCAGACAGGCCATGCAGATCACACAGGCCCTGATGGGCCATGATGAGAAATGTAAATTTTGCAATGGGAAGCAATTGCAGGAAGATTTAAATGTAGGAAAATGATAATGTTTCACCTGGTTGTTTTTGTTTGTTTGTTTGTTTTTTAGCAGGATTTATTGAGAGGATAGGAAAGCTCCCACAGTGGGAGGGGACCCGAATGAGTTGCCCTCACCTAGTTTTTAAAAATCTCTCTGGCTGCTTTGTGGAGAACGGATGATAGAAGATCAATGATCAAAAGAGACAGGACAAGATGGGAGCTGTTCTTCCTACAGGCCGGCCTAGGCTGCTCTGCCTACGGAGTGGCCTACTCTGTCATTTCAACAAACCAGCTTTTATTTTCCAATGGAAACCCCAGTGATGCATGTGGGTTCTCTGCCTCTGGATTCATTTCTTTAATAAATTTACCATTCATCTTAAAAAGAAAGGAAAAGATGGGGAAGTTACAGTTATGTATCCAAAAAACATTTACTGAGAGCCTAATATATGCAGGGTACTGTTGCAGTTAAAGCAGTGAACAAAACAGGAGAAAATCCTGACAGCATGCAGCTTACATTCTAACAGAAGGGTAGAGTGTGCATAAAAAAAAAAAAATACAGAGTATGTGAGATGATAAGTGCTAGAATATAAATAAAGCTGGAAATGGAAACAGGAGGCTGACAGGGCATCTGATAGTTCCGTTTTAATTGGGATAAGTCAGAATAAGTCTCCCTGAAAGAACTATGAAAGCAGCTATTGAAAGAATCCAAGGAGAAATGGTGCAAGCTTCTAATAGGGTTGCAGTAGAGGGTTAGTGAGAACTGGATGGGCAGATTTTGGAGGCAGAGGTGACAAGTCTTTCTGATGGATTGGGTGTGGAAAAGGTGGCGAGTAAAGAGGGAGTCAAGGATGATGCCTAAACTTCTGACTTCAGGAACTAAAGTGGATAGATACAGAGGGCTGTGTGGAAACGTTAATTGTGAGATGCTTATTGGACATTCAAGTGAAAATGTCAAGTATCAAGTAAGATAATATAAATAAAGAAAATCCTGGCGATATGGAGGAGTGTAGTACCAGGGATATAAATCTGGGAGTCACTGGCATACATTTGAACTTGAAAACTGTAAGATCTAGAATGAGTCTACCTAAGGAATGAGCACAGATGGACAAGAAGGCCTCAAACGGAGCTGTTAAGACACTCCAGATCAAGGGAGTAGAAGGCCCAGGAAAGAAGATCAAGAAAGAATATTCTGTGAAGTAAGAAAGACAAAAATTACCAGGTATAATGGAAGCCTAAGGAAGAAAGTGTTTATTTCAAGAAAGCAATGAAGGAATGAATATGCAACATGTAAAATGATTCTAATAAGGACAGCACAGAGATCGTTGTTTTGGCAGGAGAGTTGCAGGGGACCTTGATAAGAGAGGTTTGATAGAATGGTAGGGATGAAAACATCACTGGAGTGGGTGGCGGGGGCAATGAGAAGAGTATAAACCACTCTTTCAAGACATTTTACCATGAAGGGAATAGAGAAACAGAGACATAGCTGGAGAGTGATTGTATTTTCCTAATCTAAACCACATCTATCTTTCTTTGAGCTGGGGCAAAAATCTGGTCGCCCTACTTCCTCTCTTATCCCCTATGATCCATTCTCCAAATGGTACCAGGAAACTTTTGAAAATGTAAACCAGATGATGTCACTCTCCTGCTTAAAACCCACCCTTTGTCATGTCCTACAGGGTGCTGGCCTTACCCACCCATCCAAACTTCTCTCCTACTCTTCTCCCCCTTGCTCACCGTGATTTAGATATACTGACCATCTTTCTATCTCAAGCAAATAACGTTCAAGGACGTTTATACCTGTTGTTCTTACTTACGTGATATGGTCTGCTCCCAAATCTCTGCATAACTAGCTTCCCTGTAACTCTGCTCAAATATTCCCTACCTACGAGGCTGTCTGTAGCAGAGTCATCTAAAATAGCCCCCTCCAATTTAGCTCACTCTTTAGCCCACTGCTGTTTTATTTTTCTTATAGCTCTTATCAGTTTCTGAATTTTGTTATTTACTCCCTTATCTACTGTTTGTCTATTTCCCCCATTAAATATAAGTTCCATGAGAATAGAAACCTTATTCTTATTTATCTTTTTATCTCTGATCCCAGCACATATGATGCCAGGTGCATAACAGAAGCTCACGAAAAACAGTTATGTTATGTTTGGACTGGGCGTGGTGGCTCAGCCTATAATCCCAGCACTTGGGGAGGCTGAGGCGAGAAGATTGCCTGAGCTCAGGGATTCAAGACTAGCCTGGGCAACTTGGTGAGACCTCGCTCGTCTCTACAATAAATCAAAGAACAAGCCATGGTGGCGCATGCCCGTAGTTCCAGCTACTTGGAAGGCTGAGGCGGAAGGATCACCTGAGCCCAGCAGGTCAAGGCTGTGGTGGCCATGAGCTTGCCACTGCACTCCAGTCTGGGTGACAGAGTGAGACTCCGACTCAAAAAAAATAATAAGAAAGAAAAACAGTCATGTGCTGCATAATGGCATGGAGGTCAACAGAGGACTGCACGTAAGATGGTGGTCCTGTAAGATGTTTAAGGCTGTATTTTTACCGTGTCTTTTCTATGTTTCGATACACAAATACTATCTTGTTAACAGCTGCCTGAATAATCAGTACAGTACCATGTTGTATAGGTTTGGGTATGTAGCTGGATAGCCCATGTACGGTGTAGGCTGTCCCATCTAGGCTTTTATAAGAACTCTATGATGTTTGCACGACTGCAAAATCACCTAACAACACATTCCTCAAATGAATTCCCACAGTTAAACAATGCATGCCTGTAAATGTTTTTTGAATGAATGAATGCAGTTATATACTGCCAGCTTCTGGTATATCCGGCTCAGAGGTTCAGGCCTAGCATAAAAGGCACCTGGATTCCAGATGAGGAAATTCCTGCCAGTTCCTTCCTTTCAGCTAATGACTCCAAACTTTCCCACTTGCTTTATACCTTGGCAAGCTTTCTGCCTGCCTCAGTGTTTGGATTTTGAAAAAAGGTTTGGGGCTGTTTTCTGTGATCCTGACTGGGAAACCTGATACGACTGTCTCTTGGTATTAGTTCCTTTCTCTGGTGTAACTGTGCAGGGGCAAGACATGTCAATCTCTTACTGCCTGCCCCAATCCACGATGATGTGGCCTCGCTGGGCCCAGGCTCCATCACAGAGTAAAACAAACATCTGCCTCAGTTCTGAAGGTCTCTACCAGCCCAGCCCAAGAAAGATGAGGAGGACTGCTCATGTATTATGAATGTGACTGTGAGATCTCTCAAAGAGACATTCCATCAAGCACTGGAGTGCTTTCCCCATGCTCTGTGGAAATTATACACAAGTGGACACCATGAAAAGTTTTACTATTTAAATTCTGGCTACTCCATTTTTAAACTTTGTCTCTGGGAAGCTGACAGAGAGAGGCTATTGCATCTGAACAGGCAAAATTTATCTTTGAGAATTCTGTTATTTCACTAGGAGGAAGCAGTCTTTCATCGTCCTTGGAAGGCAGTTCTCAATAGGGAAGAAACCTCTTCCACCCATCCTGTACATACCTTCACCCCCTTTTCCCGATTGTTTCTTCAAGTCCCTTCCTGGTTTCTCATCTCCCTCTTTTCATACAGATATTCGATGTGAGTCACTGAAACGTATTTACTTTATAATAATGATAATACTTAACATTTATTGTGCAAGTATTATGTGCTGAACAATTAACCCTTTCCATAGTCCCAAGAGATGGATGCCATTAATTTTTTACAGATTAACAAAACAGACTCACAGTTTAAGAAACTTTCCTTCGGGTCAACCCTACTAGTAGGTGCTCGGAGTCCAGATTAAGAACAAAGAACTACCTGCTTTGAGAGCCCCACATCTTAACCTCTCAGTCCCCAACTCATTAAATGCAGATGGTTCACTAGCCACGTGCAAGGGATACACGCGCTAGCCTCTGGGGATTCAAGATGGGTAGTAAGAGAAGGACCTCTCCATGCTAAATGAGCAGGAGACAGAGAAAGAAATCCTCATGAAACAACACACTGGGTGGAACAATAACAACCTGTGCGTGGTACAAAGGCATCGCACATCCAACATCTGTAAGAAAGGCAGGCGATATCAAGATTCAAGCCCCCTCCCCCCAGGAAGGAAAGGCCTCAGATCCAGAAACCCGAAAGGCAAAATGGCAGTGGCAGGCATTTGCGGCGCATCCCCCGAGGGGATGGCAGCTGGAAGGAGAGGCGCGTGGCAGGCCCGTGGAGACCCTTGCCACACAGCAGCAGCCGGGACCGACCGTTGTGGGGGGCTCCCTGCCAGGGGAGGTGGGGGCTCTGCAGGCGCGGACAAGCTTTCCAGGGGCGGCGGCCGCGAACCCTGCAGGATCACCGATGAGGCGGCCGGGAGGAGCCGCTGGGGACCGGCGAGGGGGTGACGGGCCTCCGGGGGGCGTCGCTGGCACACGCCCCCGACGGTCCCCATCGCAGACGCCTGGATGGGGCGCATGGCCGGGCCCTCCTCCCAGGCCCGCCCGCCTCGGAGCTCGGGAGGGTGGGGACGCCCGGGAAGCATCCGTTGGGTCCCCCTCCCGGACAAGCCGGACTTGCGACGCCGCGGGCCGGGCCGGGACCCCCGGGAGGGTCCCCATCGCAGACGCCGGGCTGCAGGGCGCTAGGGGGCTCGGCGCCTTGGAGGGCCGCGGCGCCACGTTGGAAACGAATCAAAGAAGGCCGGCTTGAAACAAAGGCCGACGAGGGGCTTGGGACGCGAGGCAGAGGAGAGCCCTTACCTCATGGTGGCGGCGCTCGGCGGGCCGTCCGGGCGGCGGCGGTGCCCTCGCTGGATCCCCAGAGCCGGGCCTGCGCGCGGGCGGGCGTGTGCGCATGCGCGAGCGTCGGCCAGGACTCGGCGAGGCTGGGACCCCGCCGCGCAGCCGGTCTTTGTTAAAGGAGGTTCCGGAGCAGGAAAAGGAAACTGGAAAGCGAATCTGATCCTCCAGCGCTCCGAGTCCAGCTCTAAAAACCGAAACTCAACTCTAGGGCTGAGAAACCGCAGCCAGACCTTTGCAGAGCCTAGGGTCGTTCAGAGTAGGATTTGCAACTGGACCTCTCTCTGCACTTGGGTCTTGGCTCTTACCTGCTTTTTGAATGTGCGTGCTGCTTGGTTAACTTTTTTTTTTTTTTAAGTAAAGAAGGACTGAGATTGTTCAACCCCATTTTTGTTGTAAGAGTGGCAGCAATGTTCTTGCCAGCTTTCTACATCCTAAGTCCCTGTTTCCATCCCAGTCGTGTTTCAACAAGCAACACTGTGATGCATTACGCTGCGATGCATTTCACCTATGCTATTATTTCCGTTGGATGTGTTTAAAGTAGATAAATTTGGGGATTAAAATGAAGATACATTTTTCTTTTCAAGAGATTGGTGATACTTAGAGCATTGAATTAATTCCTTTAGTAGATTGCCAAATAGCTTTATACACTCCTACCTACAATTGTAGGTGAGTGATTTTCTTCCATAACCTTCCCAGTGGTGCTTTGTGTAATAAGATCCCAATAAAGATAGGAGTGGTATTGGGAATCTAATCTAATGCCACATACCCACACATTAAAAGTTTTTTCCTCTCTGAATTCATTCATTCAACAAATCTTACTGAGCACTGTGAGAGACAAACTTCATTTAAAGTACTGTCAATATAGCAATAAAATAGGCAAGGACCTTACCCCTTTTTGAGTCAGAGTCTCACTCTGTCGCCCAGGTTGGAGGGCAGTGGCATGCTCCCTGCCACCGTGGCCTCGACCTGCTGGGCTCAGGGGATCCTTCCATCTCAGCCTTCCAAGTAGCTAGAACTACAGGCATGCACCACCACGCCCGGCTGAAGGACCGTATCTTTATGGAGTTAATGTCTGTATTCAAAACCTCAATATTCTGTCCATCATTCGTCTTTACTACTGATTTTTAATTTTAAAAAAACATATTGCACTAAAATACTGTCTATCTTTATTACTGAGCTTCTGGTAACCCCACCCCCTAAAATCCTTCACTTAGGGCAATCACTTTTTACAGCTTGTTTTGTAGCTGTACTGTCTAATACAGAAACCACTAGTCACACGTAGCTATTAAGAACCTTCATTTTTAACTTAATCTAAGTTTAAAAACTGATCATTTTTAGTAGAAAACTTTAAAGAATATTTGAAAAAACTTAGGTGAAAATCTTTTTTTAGTTGCAAATTTTATGAAATCTAAATACAGATCAAGTATTTCCAATGAGAATTTGGCATTTAATTTGAGATGTGCTATAATCTCACTCCTACTGTTTCAAGGACAATAGACGAAATCAATACTAAAAGAAGTCAAAATATTAAAAAATTCATAATAGTTGTAATATAATAATAATTAGATAATTGGTACAAAATGAATTGGAAGCCCAAAATGTGTAGATTTTCTTGTGGTGTTCTGTAGTAAGTCAAGATAATGGCCCGCTAAAGATGGCTCACACCTATAATCCCAGCACTTTGAGAGGCTGAGGTAAGAGAATTGCCTGAGCCCATGAGTTTGAGAACAGCCTGGGCAACTTGGCGAGACCTATCTCTACAATAAATAAAAAAATTAGCAGGGTGTGGCGGTGCACACCTGTAGTTTGAGCTACTTGGAAGGCTGAGGCAGAAAGATCGCCTGAGCCCAGCAGGGTGAAGCTGCGGTGCGGTGATCCTGAGTGTGCCACTGGACTCCAGCCTGGGTGACAGAGTGAGAGACTCCAACTCAAAAGAAAAAAAAATGTCTATGCCGAATCCCCAGAAATTGAACACATTACTTTATATAACAAAAGGACCTTGCAGATCTTATTAAATTAAGGATTTGGGGGTGGGGAGATTATCAAAGATTATCCAGGTGAGCCTAGTGTAATTGCAAGAATTCTTAAAAGAAAGAGATAAGGCCAGGTGTGGTGGTGGTTCAAGCCTGTAATCCCAGCACTTTGGAAGGCAGAGGCGAGAGGTCTGCCTGAGTCCAGGGTTCAAGACCAGACTGGGCAACTTGGCGAAACCTCATCTTTACAGTAATAACAACAATATTAATAATAATAATAAATTAGACGGCCTTGTGGCATGTGCCTGTATTTCCAGCATCATGAAAGACTGAGGCAGAAGAATCGCCTGAGTCCAGCAGGGCGAGGCTGCGGTGGCCGTGAGCCGGCTGCACTCCAGCCTGGGCAACAGTGAGACTCTGACTCAAAAAAAGAGGCAAGAGGGTGGGCATGGTGGCTCATGCCTGTAATCTCAGCATTTAGGAAGCCTGAGGTGAGAGGATTCCTTAAGCCCAGGTGTTCAAGAACAATCTAGGCAACACATCAAGACCTCATGTGAAGGAAGGAAGGAAGGAAGGAAGGAAGGAAGGAAGGAAGGAAGGAAGGAAAGAGAGGAAGGAAGGAAGGAAAGAAGGAAGGAAAGAGAGAAACTAGCAGGCTATGGTGGCACACACCTAGTATTCCCAGTTGCAAGGGAGGCTGAAAGATTGCCTGAGCCCAGGAGGTCAAAGCAGCAGTGAGCCATGATCATGCCATTGCCCTCCAGCCTAGGTGAAGAGTGAGACTCTGACAAAAACAGAAAAAAACAAATAGGCAAGAGAGTCAGAGGGAGAGAAGGCCACATGAAGAAGGAAGCAGAGAGACATTTGAAGATGCTACAGTGTTGGCTTTGAAGATAGACAGATGAATCATCAAGCAAAAGATAAAGGCAGCCTCTAGAAGTTGGAAAAGGCATAACAAAGGGTGTCCCCTAGACCAGGAGTCCCCAGCCCCCGAGTCACAGTCTGCTGACTGTCTGTGGCCTGAAAGGAACTGGGCCACATAGCAGGAGGTGAACAGCAAGCAGGCAAGTGAAACTTCATCTGTATTTCGAACTGCTCCCCATCACTCTCATTACCACCTGAGCTCCGCCTCCTGTCAGGTCAGCTGCGACATTAGATTCTCATAGGAGTGCGAACTCTGTTGTGAATGGTGCATGGGAGAGCTCTAGTCTGCGCACTACTTAAGAGACTGGTGAGTATCTGAGTTGGAACTGAGGCAGTGATGCTAGCCCTGGGGAGTGGCTGCAAATACAGGTTAACATGAGCAGTGAGGTTGAACTACACAGAAACCATAATAAATCAATTGCCTGCAGATGCAAATCAAAATACTATTTCATTAGTTCATAATATATTACAATGTAGTAATAATAGAAATAAAGTGCACAATAAATGTAATACACTTGAATCATCCCCAAACCATCCCCCCATCCTGGATCATGGAAAAATTGTATTCCACGAAACAATCCCTGATGGCAAAAAGGCTGGCGACCATTGCCCTAGAGACTCTGGAGGAGCATAGCTGTCTCAGTACTTTGACTTTGGCCTAGTGAAACTCATTTTGAACATCTGACGTACAGAACTCTAAGATAATAAATTTGAGAGGTTTGAAGTCACTAAGTTTCTGGTAATTTGTGACAGCCACAATAGGAAACTAAGATATACATCTTCCCTTAAAATATACAAGAATGAAAAATCAATAATGTTTTTCCTGCTAACAATACTATTTGTTGTGCATTGTCTTTTAAAAATGTGATTATTCATAATTAAAAGTGATTGCTACAGCTGGTGTCTGAGATTATTTTTCATATTCTTGTCTAGATCAGTATCAGCAAATGACTTAATCAACAGAACTTTGAATAAAATGGCATGAAACAAGAGAAATTCCTTGGAACAATTTGACATCGAATTAAACTTAAATATCTTCATGGAAAGAGATGACCTTTAATTGATTGTATATTTATTTTACTGTCTCTTACTTACAAACAGTAAGGTTTGGAAAAAATATCTTCCTGTTCAGTATCTAGCAATGAAAACAATCTGCTGATAATGTCGACTTAAATCACAAGATTTATAAGTTTGAAAATGAGAATTTTATTTCTTAGAAAGGGTTATGGCATGCAGCCTGGGGGCAGAGCCTGGGGAGAGCCCAGGTACAGGCACTTTGAGGGAAGGTGGGTGGTACAAGGATTTTATGCTTGGTAGCTGGGCTAGAACATACATATGTAATAGGTTATAGGAGAGGCTATGAGGGGAAGTCCTGTGCATCCATAGTAAGCAAGCACACATGTTAAATATGTTCCATGTTCACCTTGGAGACTTAACATCCATATGCAGTTATATTAGGCTCTGTATGTCAAAAGGTAAACTGGAGGACACAGAAATGCCCTGGATGTAGCCTCCATGGATCAGCCAGAACCAGTCCACGTGGTTGGCAGTCATCTATAAGGAGGGAATGTGGGTCACTTGTCTCCCTGAAACAGCAAAAGGGGAGTCTAGCTGCTGTGCCAGGGGTTGGCTGAAGTCAGTGGATGAGCAAGTCTTCTGTTCTTTCTGTTCCAAGGTTGGTTTCTGTTCTACTCTTAGCAAAAAAAAAAAAAAAAAAAAAAGGCAGTTAGCAAGGGAGGGAATATCATGACATGTGGCTGACCTCTCATATTGTCATGGCCAGAAAACTTAGTTTTTAAGTTTTTCTGGAGTTTCCTTTGGTCAAGAGCATCTGTCCAGAAGGTCGTGGCTTCAGATTTCATTTTTATGTCACAATGAAACAAATGAATAAAGCATTTCAGTGTGTATATATTCAGTATTTTATTTGCTACAAATCGATCCAACAAACTTTTTTTCTACTAAATAGCATCCACACAAATGGTTTTCTCTTTCTCATGCACACCATTCTGTTTCCTGCTTTTCTGAATACAACTAATATTTTATCAGATTTCAGTAATCGTTCAAAAATTACATCACTACAGCGAATTACACAATGTGTTTCTGAAAGCAGCAAGCATAAAAGAT